TGATCTCGACTGAGACATGAAAATCAGTTGAATAGTTCTGCCAAAGGCCATGATCAAACTAAGGCCTTCCTCCTCGCGACTTATGCAGTTTGGCGCTTTGGCGATTCGGGTAACACGCTGAAAAGACGTATACGTATGGTGTGAAGATCGCCGACGCTTTTCTGCATGAAAACATCTGAGGCATTTCTCAAGCTTAGACACGAAAAATCACAAATGACTGCTGTCAATTTTCAACGCCTAACCCGATCCCTAGTATGGATGTGGTGAGAGCAGTGGACTGGGCGTGTTCAGCAAAAGGCCGATGTCAGACTTTGCGAATCGCGCGATTCGCTAGCGTCTGCGGTCGCGTCGCGGCCAGTGAATCACTCAATTGGCTGGTACCGCAACGCGACCGCGGACGCTAGCGAATCGCGCGAATCGCTAGTAGCGAATCGCGCGATTCGCAAAGTCTGACATCGGCCAAAAGAAGGCGCTCTATCGCCTCAATACGCCCCTATTTGGTCGGCCCGCCCACCACGCTGTCGAATCCAACTTGATCTATTCCATCAAGAATTCGATTTTGTTAAAACGTGCTCGTTGAGACTATCGCTATGGTTTTTATCGCGATCAAAGAAAAGGATAACAAGGGATAAATTTCAGATTACACTCACCAAGCAATGCCATCTGTATCGATCCATCTTCTATCACTGGCCCTGTGCCTTTCGTCGGGATTTCAACAAGGATACATTGCCTCTGTTCTCAATCAGCCATACCTACAAATCGAAAGCTTCATTAACCAGTCATGGGTAGAGCGATATGACACGGAGATGAGCCATGAAATGCTGGTAAGCAAAGGCGAACTACAATGTCATTACAAAATGTACTTACTGCAAGAAGAAAGTACTACTTCAGAACGTCCTGCTGTCTCTGCTGAACGTCTGCTTTCCCATAGCAACCATTTTTGGACAATTCCTGGCTGCATTTCTATGTAAGAAAATTGGAAGGAAAGGCACCGCGCTGTTAGCCAGTGCTCTCTACATTCCCGGCGTACTGCTGTGTTTCGCCTCAAAATATCTGCACCCTTATTTCGAGCTTCTATACCTTGGACGCATTTTATGGTAAGCTATTTTTCACTGTGAAAGAGTTGGAAATGATGGTTCTCCCTGGGAAGATCGCAGGCTATCCAACCATTCCACTTTTAAGGTCTCTGGCGAACGGTATCAGCAGTGTGAACGCTACTGTCTGGATTGTCGAATGTGCACCGCCTCAGATCCGTGGCAGAATGGCGTCCATGCAGGAGTTCTTCATGGCTATCGGTAAGCTATAGCATTTTGGCTTTTAAAAACCAGGCGCTGGACAGGTTATTTCCCAATTTACCAAATGGTGCCACTTGATAAATAAGCGTGAGCTCCAACAGTGGTCGGAGACATCAGATGTAAGCCACTCTTCGGTTTCCTTCTCATATCCTGACCATTCTTAGGAAGATATCAGAGCAGGTAGACCTATTCCATAGGTCAGTCAAGCGTCAAGGCAATGAGAGAAGGGCTAAGTGTTTGAATTGAAGGGCCTTCCTCTTCTAGGGACAGTGCTGTTGTTGAGGAAAACCTGCGTTTCGCGCGCCCAGGATAGGGAACCCGGGGCCAAACTATGTATGTCATGCTTTCCTCTGCCTGGCTTAATATGTTGCTTAAGCAGCTGCAGCCACTCACAGCAGCCAAGTAGAGGACCCTGAAACCCTCGCTGCGCGCTTTTTTTTCAAGCCACAAAAACCGGAAAATATCCACCATTTTTGTAGAGCCCCTTCATACTACTCATGGTAGACGTTGATTAACAGGCTTGCGTTGAATTGCCGCCAGAGTTCATATATTAGAGCGAACAAGATTTCATTCTTGTTTTAGGCTCACTGATCACTCAAGCGTTTGGCGTTCCATTCTCTAACGAAGAACTTTGGCCTTTCATCTTCTTGCCGAATGCCGCCTTCGTACTTCTCTCAATGGTTCTGTTCTTCGTTGTTCATGAATCACCGCAATTCATAATAGAGAAGACAGGAAATCGTGAAAAGGTGGGTGTTAAAACCGCTTGAAATGCTTCAAAAATAGTTCATGTGACAGTTTTAGGCTCGTAAAGGCTCCTTGCAGCCTATCACGGTGTAGGAGTCGAAGATGCAACAGTTGAAACGGAAATGAAAATCTGTGAAGAGAGTGTCACTAAATCAAAGGAGAAGGCAAAAGCTAAGGTACGCATTTTCATTTAGTTGGGATTCTTCTGAGTACATTTTTCAACAGTACTTCAATCAATCATTTCAGGAGGCGAAATCCCCCATACAGACCGAGCACGACTCAGTGACCGTGATTTTCATGCCATGGAAAGCTCGAGACGACAGTTCTAAGGTGATTCGTGAGGCGGCATGGCTTGGAGTGATGGTGAAGGTAAGGTATTTTGAAGTGTCGATTCTTATAAAAAAAATAACAAAAAAAAAAGCATTTTCCTATATCAATCCCTTTCTGGGATGCGACACGCCGATCTAGTAATGGCGTTTGAATGCGATGTGGCCTATACAATGACTTGCGGGGGCCAGCCGATGTTCAAGTCAGTGTTTTTATCCTCCCAGACAAGTCTGGTACCAATTAACCGACCCCGGAGGGATGGAAGGCTTGGTTGGCCCGGGCGACTCACGACCCAGGATTTGATCCCCGGACCGCTCGCGTGGTAAGCGCGCCACTTGCCACTACACCACTTCCGCCCCCTATGCGATTCTTATATCTGGAATAAATCCGAAAACAAAGGCTTCGCTGTCAGTCACCTGCGAATCTTAGCTTTGAGATCTGTTCAACGACAGCCTTGCATTTCCTTGGAGTCGTGAGCGCTTCACACCAGTGCTACTCCAGGCAATGAAGGGTCGAGACTCAGTTACGCTGTATTCACCGTCCAACCTTGACTTTACTGACTGTTACTACTTTTCTTGACCTCTGATGGCGATTATATGCGGTCACTGATTAAACTGGTTACTGACAGGGTCAGCTAAACCCTCCACTCCGCCACAGTCGACCAACAGGTCTGGGTGATCTGAGAGATCAATGACTTGTTCATTGCATAACATCCAGAATTCTCAGCGTACTCCCTACAACTACCCTTCCAATTCCTGTGCAATTTTGAGCAAAAAGTGCGCGCATGGCGTATGCTGAAATGATCTGGGAAGGAGTCTCGCTTAATTCAGTGAAAGCTTTTTATCCTAATAACCGAACATGATTCAGATTGCGTACGTATTCACTGGAGCCAGATGTCTGCGAGCATTCAGTACTTTTGTCCTGTACAACCTGGGACGATGGAGTTACGATGGCGCACTTTACGGATCTTTCGCTATTAGTGAGTTTCTTCGCACTGATGGGTTGCTTAAAAGGAGATTTGCCTTGACTAAGATGTCTTTTTCAGGTCTACTTAGGATTCCTTTCACTCTGATCCCAGTGTTTCTTGTTGACCGTCTTGGACGACGGCCGTTGATAGTCACGTCAACGGTGATCTCATTTCTGTCGCTGTCTCTGATGATAATCGGAATCGATCTCGGAGCTAGTTGGAAGGTCAGTTGAATGTGATCTGGACGGTTACGAGACCCATTCTTTGGGTCCCATTGTAGCTCCAGCCTCATGCGATTTGGCGATCACGCCGAAAACAAAGCATGCATATCGATCTAAAAACAGAGATTATGCGATTTGGCGATTTGGCGATTAGACTGAAAGGACTAGCTGCGCATCGATTGAAGCGACGTTGTCCAATTAGTGATTCCGGTGCAATGAGTAGGCAGTCTTTCTATCAATACGCGCACATTCCTTTCAGCACAGTCGCTGAAATCGCCGGATCGCTAAACCGCGAAATCGCATAAATCGCTAGCTTTTAACGGGGCCTCAGGGATAGTCTATCAAACGTGTTTTTCTGACTCAAGAGGCATGGCGTCCAACTAGGATTGTATTTTCAGATTGCGACCCTCAT